TGTGCATAATATTATGGACTCTTTTCAAAGCCTTATAGCACAGTGCTTACTTTGAAGATTACTGAAGCGACTTTCTGATAAGATAAATATCCGTGCACAGCTTGAAGATTAAACCGCATATACTTTGCTGTTGTTGGCTTATTTAACTACGGTTCGGTTACAAAACGTCGACTGTTAGGACAACGATGTTATTTTGATTGTCACGCCGTGTAGATTCGTGGGCAGATAAAAAGGGCTTAAGTGGCAATGGTGAAAAGCGAAAATCAGGCTGTTGAAACAGTTCGTTTCTCCGAAATGGTGTCTACATGGCGTTACAGCCCAGAAGAACATCAGTCACCGCTGAATAACCTCAAATATCACGAGTGTCAAGATGACAGAATGATGTACTGGAAACACTGTTGCCTATTATAATAATATTATCCCTGCATTTTCATGAAAATACAACAAAATCACAAAAAAGAAGAGTCAACCAGAATGGCTAAAATTTAAACACAGATCCTCGCCACTACACCAAACCGCTGTCACACAAGTCTACATTGCCACATTCTACTAAATGATTCAATTACTCGAATGTACGCATTAGTTTCTCACCTTGGTAGATGCAAACTACAGGTCACGAAGTTCGGAAGTATTTACAGGGAACGCAGAGAGACGGGGCAGGGGGGGAGTTTGATTTCAGTATTCTTGGCAGGGAAGAGGACGGCGGGAGGGACTTGTTAGAATACAGCCTTAAAGCCTACGTATGTAACGTGACTGTGAAACCGCACAACACAGCCAAACGTAAGACGTGAGGGTAGGCCTAAGCGCTTCATACGGCTGATAAGGATCCATCCTTTAACATGGCGTATCTTCGAATTTTAAAGAATTGCAAGAAAGAATTTTTTTTTTAATTTTCAAACTCAGAAGCACAACTTTCTACGAGGTCTTGATTATGGAAATAGAAAGTCACACCTTTAAAACCACGCACGTCTAAATCACTAAACTTTACGACAAACATCACGTTCTAAAACGCATTATCTGACACTGACATGCAAGATTTTTAAAACTGTTTCTAGGTACAAAAGTACGGATGGTACAGTTACGTGCTACTTAAAAATCAGAGTAACGGTACTTATTTTGGTCGGGAGAAATGCAAATACCAATCGGATATAAGCGGTTTTTAAAGCTGATGTTTTACTGGTGTAACTCAAAGCATTCTCTTTGCAGTTGCTTCACTGTATTAATTCATCATGTTTACATGAACTATAAGCAGAATACGTAAACATGTGTTTCAAAAAATAAACATGCCCTGTAGAACTAGTTGTACATGGGACGGTAGACTGTTCACTACTAACTTACACGGATGTCTGAGGTTTTAGGGGTAAAATTAAAATAGATTCTTAAGGGCTACTTTTAATACAAATCAGTGGTGATAAATCTACTCGATTTTGAAGCAACAGATTACTTACTAAAATTGATGGGAGCTTAATTATTTAATTCTTGGATCATGAATAATGAAATGATGATGATAATACACGAAGTGACCAGCCATTTCTATACTGTTCATCTTTATGCATGGTTTGCAAAGCAAATTGAATCTCTCTGCATGGATTCATGGCTAATCAATTAAAACATTAATTTAGTCATTGCATAGTTTCAACATTTTGAAGGCAAGAGCCCAGCTACATGCAACGAAGTACTATATACAGAGCATGAAGTTCACCTGCTAATTCTGAATATCTGTTATCAGAACTTAAAAATTCTGATACAAAAACAAACTAAACTAAAAACAGGAATACTCAAGCAAGTTCAGAGAGGACTTCAAGTACAAGCATAAGATGCAAATGATATGTATATGTAGCCTGCATACAAGGTGGTGCAAAAAATTGTTACAAAAAGAATCGTAAAAATAAATTTAACCAAGTTTGTTTAAATAAAAGGTTTTTTGGATGTTATCCATCGTCTAATAAAATAATAAAATTGAACGACGTTGCGGAGATGGGACTCTATCTCCGTCTTCAAGTATATAGAGTCCCATCTCCGAAACGTCGTTCAATTTTAATATTTTATTAGACGATGGATAACACACAAAAAAACTTTTTATTTAAATAACTCACCATCGTCACAAACTTTTAGATTTGAGTAACTAAGTCTGTGTACAGAGAATTTATCCGTTTCAGTTGATCCATTACACAGACCTAGTTATTACGGTCTACACAACTTCTTTCATAGCCATTCATTTTTATCGTTACTTTATAAGAAGTCATCTTTCTTGCATCACCCAGAATATTCTTAACCTTTAAATCTGGCCTTTATAATTCACATGTAGGAGATACGACCACATGGCACCTGAAGAAAACAGACATGCAAAAATTTCCTATAAATTTACGAACCATCTCCAAAAACTAGAATATAGTATATAATAAGAAATATAAATCATATTTTCGGTATCTTTTTACGGAATGAAAAACTCATTTTCACAGATAGTACCAAAAATATATTTTTTAAGTTACTATAATACACAAATTTTAAAATGCGTCATAATATATAAAATCATTAAAATAACATGCAGAAAACTCTAGACACTATCAAGAAAATTTCTGGCAACCTGGCACCCAAATTTGTGCACACCTGATAATAGATATGAAATGAAATAATTATATTATAAAAAGAGAGGAGCCATATGAGATTTGGGGGTTTTCAAGCAACAGAGATGGAAATTATGGTCATCTGGGTTGTGATGCCATGTAGTCATTCAGATGATTACCAATGTTTCAGAGAAACATAATTTTGTCATAATCCAGAAGATCAACAGCACATATATTCACGTGTAATGTTTGCAATTTTGCTCACCTCTTTGGCAACAGTGATACTCTGTTTTCACACAATCATATCACAGTATACACGGACCAATTAACGTGGCACTCATCATAACAGACTGCATAATTGTCCAAAATTGTTTCTCCTTATAGTTCATTTTATATTCATCCTCTAAAAAATATTCCCAATAAAACATGGGCTTAGAATTATGAAAGCAATGACACTGTATCATATTTAATTTACATTTTAATTTCATTACCTAAATCAATGAAGTTGTGTTCTGAGAAGTTGACAGCTGATCAACAGAATCAATACACTCATCAGAATGTCCACAAAAACTAATTTCTATTTGTGGATTTTTTAATCATTTTTACTCCAAATTAGTCAGACTGGATTTTATTTATAACAAAAATATGCACAATGTCAACCTAACCCATTCACTTTTAGGAGAGTTACTTTCATTTTACTTTACTATACTCTGTGATGCATTTGGAACATACCCATCAACATGTTCTACATCCTTTAGTTGAGTCCTAAGAAGGCTCTATGGAATATAAATAAACTCAACTCTACTCCACTCTACTCTACTCTATATGTATGTATTCCTAGACTCACAGGTTTTTCTCACCTTTAATAAAGGAACCTGTATGCAACTAATTCATTCATCCATGTTCATTGTGGAATAGCAATAAATAATTACACTGTATAATACCTCAGAAAGTTCTATAAAGAAAGTTAATTATTTCATCATTATTATCATACTAGCGAATTTCCATCACAAATGATGGGAAAACATAAAGCATCCAACACACAATCATAAATATTATCCCATATGGTCAAAATTCCCTTAACAGCATTACCACAGCAACAACACCACACATATTCATAAACATTTCCCCACAAGACCCAAAATCCCTTCACAACGACCACCAACCAACCAAACTACAAACTAACACTTACTGAATAGATAGATAATAAATTGCCCATCAAAGATGACTGGAAAATCTAAATAGCAAACAAACACATTCATAAATATCATCCCAAAAGGCTTAAATTTCCTTAAGAGCTATTGATTAGGATAGATTTTATAGAATGCATTATCACATTTGTAGTACCAACAAACTGAAATAGGTGAAATTCACTCATGCTCAACACAAATTCATGGGAGAGCGATGAGACTTCTTGCAGGGATTATTTAGCTGAGAAGAAAATTGACATAGCATTCACAAAATAATAAGTGTACACACTGAGAGATGTAATGAAAACAAAACCAGTCACTTATTCACAATTTAATTGGAAAGTCATGAAAAGAATAAATTACTTTGGAGGCCCTCACACAAAAGGGGAACAACACTATAATGGAAATTAAATAATGGTGTGAGGATTCCTTAACAAGTAGAAAATACTTCAACCAGACTAAACAGCATGAACAACCCAGAAGAGGGCCATCTTCAAATGACAGTTTGTTCATCTTGTGTAACTTCCGTACAGCTTGGGCTGTTGATTACCATCAATTTTGTGTGTAAGGGTAGTAACCCTCAGAAATTACAATACAGACAAAAATTTAATTTATCAGAAATCATTTCTATTATCTTTGAGAAAAAAACTGCTGTGTTAAGAATGTGCTACAATTTTAAACATAACCAAATAACATGGATTTAATTATACCTACAATCCACATTAATAAGTATGCTAGAATACTAATTCAGAGATAAAAATGTTAGTGTTTGTCTGACAAGTGCCTAAATTTCAACGTACTCTTTTTATTTAATTCTACATTTAGTATGCAAAACAAAGCATGTGTATGTAACCTTAGCCCACTATGTCACTATCAATGTGTTTTTCTCTAGACATGTGTCCCTTGGAAAATTACTCTGATAAAAGGATTTTGAAAATTTTTGAAACCATCATAATTAGAACGAAATTATGGACTGAAGGCCCTGCATTATACTGAAATCGTGACATTCTGAATGCTTGTCAAAGTACCAACATAACCTTACCACATACACAATATTTGCTTATAACAAAAGATGTGTGAACTTATATTCTTTCTAGTCTTGATAAACTGTAACTGTCACTTAAAATCAGCATTTATTCTCAGCTACTCATAGTCTTTTATGATTCTGCACCTTATATTCATTGCTTAATGACAACCCAACATCCTAACCCTATTTGTTAAAATAAACTTGGTTGTAATTTACCTGATTTTTCACATTAATAAGAAGCTGTGTGTTTCCAATTCTGATAAAGTACAAAAAATATAAAAGGCCTACATAGCAGGCACAACTAGCACCACGTCTAACAATCATTTTCACACGTACGTTCAAACTTTTCTCGCAAACTCACTTCTATCAACTCGCCATAACCATTGCAGACCCGCAACTAAATACCCATGTGTATTTCGCCGAACCACCAACAGATAGCAGCACCGTACAGCTGACTTTGCTGCTACCTACCGGGAATCAACAATAATAAAAATTATTGGAATTTTATTGCTGCACAGACGCAGGCGCAGTACAATAAAATAGGATTGGCCTCACATTTAAGCTTCTGCCAGTAAATAAATGTTATTTGCAATTTAGTGTCAGCACAACAACGACAGTTCGGCCAGTCATAAAATTGCATTCTTGAAACCACGCGTTTTATACGGCTGAGAAGTTTTCGTTGCTATAGATACTCTCAACTGTTCTTTCTGATGTAGATATGCATCTTGATTGAACTACTGCAAGCGTTAAAGCAGGGCTGTTATAATTAACTGGTTCGTTCTTAGAATAGCAGTATTTTTCAAAACCCGATTTAATCGGCTAAGAAACACTATCATATGCTGTCCAGATCAGAATAAACGGTTGGTTTATCTGTATTATCCTTCTGATGATGTGAGCATCTAGAATCTCAACTGGGGAGAATTCATTGCTGTAAATCATCGTCTAACAAAAATGCATCTAAAGGTCAAGAGACCCTCCTGATGGTAAGAACTTCCGAAATGTTGTTAAATTTCTACCAGATTACGCAGCGCTACAACCCAGAAGACAGCCATCTTCGTACTCACCGCCGTGAGAGCTTCAATCCTACTGAGTTTACTGAAAATGTGACTGATTTCAACTGCCGATTTAATTTAGCCCAAAGCCCCTGCACAAACGAATTTAGATTAATTGCCTGCAAACCAGATTTATACAATATAATATCAATTACATTTTCAACCATATGCCTGCATGTCCTAATTTACGAGTTGTAGTATGTAAACAAACTTCGTGCTTCTGAACGAACTCCATGGGACAAGATATTCCTTTGTAAGGTAGCTACTAGTCGCTCAGCTAGCCAAGAAACCGACCGACTTTCTTAGAACACGAAGAGTGGAAATAAGTTTGAACAATTTTGTATTCAAGGTTTATCGTTATAGATTTCTCGTTCAAAGAAACTTGTAAGAAGTCATTCTTGTAATATGTTTTGTATGATGTGATTCTACACTTTCAATATCTGGAAAATATATATATATATATATATATATATATATATATATATATATATATATATATATATATATATATATATATATATATATATATATATATATATATATATATATATATATATATATATATATATATATATATATATATATATATATATATATATATATATATATATATTTTCCAGATATTGAAAGTGTAGAATCACATCATACAAAACATATTACAAGAATGACTTCTTACAAGTTTCTTTGAACGAGAAATCTATAACGATAAACCTTGAATACAAAATTGTTCAAACTTATTTCCACTCTTCGTGTTCTAAGAAAGTCGGTCGGTTTCTTGGCTAGCTGAGCGACTAGTAGCTACCTTACAAAGGAATATCTTGTCCCATGGAGTTCGTTCAGAAGCACGAAGTTTGTTTACATACTACAACTCGTAAATTAGGACATGCAGGCATATGGTTGAAAATGTAATTGATATTATATTGTATAAATCTGGTTTGCAGGCAATTAATCTAAATTCGTTTGTGCAGGGGCTTTGGGCTAAATTAAATCGGCAGTTGAAATCAGTCACATTTTCAGTAAACTCAGTAGGATTGAAGCTCTCACGGCGGTGAGTACGAAGATGGCTGTCTTCTGGGTTGTAGCGCTGCGTAATCTGGTAGAAATTTAACAACATTTCGGAAGTTCTTACCATCAGGAGGGTCTCTTGACCTTTAGATGCATTTTTGTTAGACGATGATTTACAGCAATGAATTCTCCCCAGTTGAGATTCTAGATGCTCACATCATCAGAAGGATAATACAGATAAACCAACCGTTTATTCTGATCTGGACAGCATATGATAGTGTTTCTTAGCCGATTAAATCGGGTTTTGAAAAATACTGCTATTCTAAGAACGAACCAGTTAATTATAACAGCCCTGCTTTAACGCTTGCAGTAGTTCAATCAAGATGCATATCTACATCAGAAAGAACAGTTGAGAGTATCTATAGCAACGAAAACTTCTCAGCCGTATAAAACGCGTGGTTTCAAGAATGCAATTTTATGACTGGCCGAACTGTCGTTGTTGTGCTGACACTAAATTGCAAATAACATTTATTTACTGGCAGAAGCTTAAATGTGAGGCCAATCCTATTTTATTGTACTGCGCCTGCGTCTGTGCAGCAATAAAATTCCAATAATTTTTATTATTGTTGATTCCCGGTAGGTAGCAGCAAAGTCAGCTGTACGGTGCTGCTATCTGTTGGTGGTTCGGCGAAATACACATGGGTATTTAGTTGCGGGTCTGCAATGGTTATGGCGAGTTGATAGAAGTGAGTTTGCGAGAAAAGTTTGAACGTACGTGTGAAAATGATTGTTAGACGTGGTGCTAGTTGTGCCTGCTATGTAGGCCTTTTATATTTTTTGTACTTTATCAGAATTGGAAACACACAGCTTCTTATTAATGTGAAAAATCAGGTAAATTACAACCAAGTTTATTTTAACAAATAGGGTTAGGATGTTGGGTTGTCATTAAGCAATGAATATAAGGTGCAGAATCATAAAAGACTATGAGTAGCTGAGAATAAATGCTGATTTTAAGTGACAGTTACAGTTTATCAAGACTAGAAAGAATATAAGTTCAGATATGGACTGTAACTTAAATATCAGCATTTGATATTTACATTTCGTTTTGTCTTTGTTTGTCTCTACCTCCCTGCTGTCTGCTTCTCTCTATGTCTTTTTCTGTCTGCCCGTCTTTCCTTCTGTGTTCCAAACTGCTTTAACGTGGGAATAATGCCAGGTACTAACACGCCTGTCTAGAAACAAGATTCTCTCTTGTGCAAAATTCCAGAAATGAAGAATAAATAATTTGCGTGTTGCGCCATTATATAAAGTTCCTCCTTCAAGTCCAAAATGGTGGACACACGAGACCTCGACATTCACCAAAACATTATGAAACTTATACAGCAAATGTAGATAGGAATCGAAGTTCTGGATTCGAAATAAAATAATCAAACAGTGATAATTTTAATACGGCTGTATTTTAGAATGTAGCATCGTATAATCTGGTAGATATTGACCGACGTATTAGAGAAGCTCCTTTCGAACGTCGACAAGAAGATGCTACATTCCAGAAGACAACCATCTTCATACCCGTCGCCGTGGAAACCTCGCATCTCACGCAGGGTGATAATCTGACTGGAAGGAAAAGTTGTTAGTCCTGCTTCTAACGGTCTTGCAGTGAAAGTGATCGTTAAGTGTCCTCATTCTGGCTGAGGAGTAATAATACTCTTTTAAGGCCTTAACATTTCAAATGGCAAGGCGTTTGGTCACTGAGGAATATAACGAAAAACTTCCAGAATACAAGGTACATCCCGAGTAAAGAGCCTTTTGTGAGGCGGAGATGAATTGCTCTGTGGAAAGGAAGAGCCCGCCCGTGTTCTAGATTCCTAAGAGATCTGTCTCCTTTCCGTCGCTTCTGAATGACGGTCAGGCCCCGGGAAGGTAGTTACAGGACTCTTAACTACAGCCTCTGTGTTAATAATGTGTAACAGGATGAGAGTGGGTAGGTACAGACCTGCAGTATAAGGCAAAAAAGTACTCAAAGTTGTATTTCGAAATCAGGCAATAAGCTCTAACAGTGTTTCTCAACTGTTTCCATGTGGCGACACATTAAAATACAGTTCAATAGCCCCTGCACACCACATCATGTGCAAATATATTATTATAAAAAATTACGTATATTATTATTATAAAATAAATAACTGGATTACTGTTAATTCAGTCACTAAAGCAGCCGTAATGAATAAAACAAGTAATTGTGGATCCGGTGACGAAAAGAAAAGCAATTTTGCCGTGAATGAAACCTTAGCAGTTCAGTTTGTTACCAGTAGCAATTTTTGGCTGAACTTTTGTTAAGTTGCAAACATACGAGATTTTAGGTTCTCACGGCCGCGAGTATTAAGATTACTGTCTCTTACGCATTACATTTTTACTGAAGATGTATGTTATCCTTTTGACTTTACAACCTGAATTTAATGATAATTAAGAATAATTATTTTGCTTCTTGTTTTGTGCTTACTTTCATGTCTAATCTAACAGGTTGAAGTGTTCCTTTTAATTGGTTGCGAAGATCAATCAAAGACGAATGAAATTTAATCCAACATTCACATAATTGCAAGCAATCAGTCTTTTCGAAATGACGCGGAAATAATAAATTAGCAATGTAATAACCTATGTAAAGTTCATTTAAGAAATACTCGTACTAGGAGAAAACTGAGCTGTTTGGCTAGTTATCATACATTTTGCGCAATATAACGCAATTTCCTTGTAATCTGCATAATTTACAGCGATAGTCGGTTTCAAATTGCTTAAAACGTAAGCACACAATGGACCCGATTAAAAGATTCGAGTTAAAAGGAACCGGCGCCCTTGTGCCTCGCCAGTTGCACTTGTGGCCCCATAACCCTGATTCTCTAGAACTGGGCCCAATACTTTCTATATGCATATGAAGAGACGTTATCATAAGTGAGAGTCTTCCTGAGGCGCTGCTACTTTCACATGTAGGCAACCTTGCCGTGTCTTTACGATGGTCAGTCGGCCTTTTGCTTTCGGATCGACCGGTGTGCACGTGTTCGCTACTCATGCCGGTTCCGTAATCTGCAGCTCTGTGACTGTCGAGTGTTGTGTTTCGCGGGCTTAAAGCATGCGCTATTGTGTTTAGGCAGGTGCCAGGAAGCCATCTGGGGTCGACTCTTACACATCGCAGTTCCAAGTTTTCAAGTTATTTTTATTTCGAAACAGTTGGCACCACGTAGGACTGGACTCGACTTTCCAGGTGTTTGAATTCTGCAGAAGACCGCCTCTAAGGTGAATCATTTCATTGTCTTTATTTCTTATTTGTTGTAATGTTAAGGTAGTAGAAATGTGTCCATCATAAAATCTGGAAGTAATTCCCATAAATATATGTGTCACTCCGCCACAGCAACTGACAATTTTGTTTACCCTATCTATATATTCGTGGTTTATTTTAATTACGCTGTTATAGCTCCTACTAAATACATTTAAATTATAGGATGTTTAATAATCTATTAGTTTGAAACTGTATTGAAGGAAGCGGCCATGTCTCAATTTAGGTTACTGTTCCTGCATTTACCTGGAGGGACTGAGGAAATTTACGAAAAGAATCAGGATAACGATTTCCAAACCGACTTTGAACCTGGGATCTCCCAATACGAAACAGAAGTGTTAACCTATCGACAGCGAATTTTTGGAAACTATTCCGACACATTTTGATAATATTCTGTCTATTCCTGGTATACTATTTAACGACGCTTTAAATTGCTATATAGCTCCGAATGACATGACGCTTATTAATAATAAATTCTCAAGGATGTGGAAATAAGTGGTTGCCCTCAGGTATATATCAGATAATTTATCCCTGAAAAAATCTATAATGTCCACAATAACATTAGTATAATAATCAACCAGTGTCACAAACCTTTAAAGAACCAAAAGAATTTTAGAGTATACTAGAAGTTGAATTAACGACAAATGTTTAGGTTAACGTAAAGTTACCCCTCTGCCCAAGCATCGCGCTAAAAATATTCATATGGGAAATCGAGGCAAATCTCCAAAAACTAGATCGGCACTAGAAGTTAATGGTCAGCTTCACGATACGACCGCTTTAACCTAGTGGAAATAATTCACGATTTATGGGGAACATTACAACAATACGAGACAAAAGCCTCATTTTTCGGTTTCGTCTTTGTTCTGATTCTTCATTTCAACTACATTTTATTTACTGACGATGATGGTGGAGGTAGACTAATTGAACGAAACCCAAATAAATTGGTGGAATTAAGAAATAGTTAATCTAAAGAAAAGTTTCCCATCAAATTCCAAAGCTCAAAGGTGAGGTGGGGGGGCTGAGCCTCTGCTTGCCGTCACGCTGTTCGTACTTTGCTATGCAGGTAGCCTACATACCACGGAGATGCAGTTGTGTTCAGGCAAACAGAACTTCTCACGTAAAGAACGAAAATAGGTAACTGTCTCAAAAATAGATTTTCTCTCAGTTTCTTTAATAAAAGCCTAACATCACTGATCGAAATGATGTGGTGCTACTGTTTGTGGACAGTGGGACGGAAGGACGGATGTGACAGAACTGACAGACTGCTTTCGAAACTAACCTGCATATGTGTATCTGATAATCTCCGGATGCTGTTTGTTGGATAACATAGGCTAATGCCGTTTTACACTCGAGCTAATATGATTCCTAATTCATATAATTCTCGGTTAAGTTTGACATAAATCCGTTACTTCAAGGCAACATCAACTTCCACACACGAGCGACTACTGTCAATGCTAAGTAAAAGTTACTCATTTTAATCCAGGAAGGACGAGCTATTCAGAGCATTCACAATAATTATTGTAAGGGACGCTAAATTAATGTCTGAGGAGGAATTTCTTCACGTGTCTGAGTATATTAATCACCGGTTTCGGAAAGTACGAGACGCACTTCGATAGGCAGGACACAGTCAGACGTCGTCTCTGCAATCCGTCAGTAGGTAGTGAGCATTCGGATAGTGCTGAAGTGGTATGTACCAGGTTCTGAATCTTCAGAAGTTAACTGACACGTTGAGAAAGTACATTCGTGGCAAGTATGTAACACAATTAGTGGCGTTCCATATAATCATCAAATATCCATAACGTCTTCAAGTCCATCCATGGTTTACATTCTCTTTTTACAAAAGAAACATAAAAGTTCACATTTATATTACTGATTGCTGTATGCAGTGTATTTTATACGTTACAAATATCTCTAAGTTTTTACCTCTCACTTTACATTTAACATAGGCCTTCAAATTAAATGTGCAGCCAAGACTAGAAAATATGATCAGAAAACAGAAATTTATAGTTTCGTTCTATAAATAGTTTTCATTACTATTTTTCTAGAACTATCTTCAAGTACTATATTACAAGACACGTCACAAATCACTTTTCTCCTCTGTTCACAATCTGGATTCGACAGGCGTGACTTTATTGCTATCACGTCTGCGCTACTGAGCTATAAATTAGGCCACGGTCACTTCCAACCACTGTACTGTTCTGCAGTTGACAGTACTCCATATATAGATTTTATACAAATCATGCGTCAACCCAAGCAAGTTGATATATCTCGCCCAAACAACAACAGAAATGTACGAAGCATAGACACGTAAGTCATAGCAAACCTTAATAAAACCCTGCATAGTAACAGCCAGTACACGTCTGAATGTTTTGGTGTTAACTAAACAACATAGGAGAATGAAGACGGAAGAAACACATTTCTTCAGGGCGATCGCAGAATACAGAATGAAGTACCGATATCATAAACGTAATAAAGAGAAAGAAATAGAATAACAGACACTGAACAGTAACAAAGGCGCTATCAAAAGAGGCTAGAACATCTATTCCTAATATAATAGCCAGTGTCTGTCACACTTAAGTGTACGAAGGTGCCATTCCTGCGATGCGGATAGAAAAGAAGAGATTAGGTTCTGACGGTGGCAACTCTGATAGCAAGAAACGCAAACGAGTCTATAGTAGCGTCTACGGTGGGGTCTGCGTTTTACATCTGGACTCAGGGGGTCGCTTCTGTATCGGTGCTTTTGGCAGGAGTCTGGTTTCAGTCGCCGTTAAGACATCTCCATATTTAATTCACTTTAAAAGGAAAAGTTCTAAATTGTTTACTTTAAATGTTATTTAGATAATACTTCAACAAATTTACAGCGCCGTTCAAAATTATCCTTAACTCATTATGTAACCATCAGACCAATTCAGTTCAAGAGGATGTCTTATTTCTTACGTAATAAAATGAACACTAGAGGACGCATTACAACAGAGTTATTTAACATAAAAAAGCTCTCTATCACTATTTTATTACATACTGAAATGACGAAGGCCATAATTATACTCTGTGACGGTAATAATAAATGCGATATCTAATTATTTTCAGCAGATATAAGACTGAGATATTTGGAGTCGTGAACAAGTACACTGAGATTCAAGGATGAGGACCGGTTGCCGTGGAGACCGCATCATGGCCATAGCAAGAGCAGTGATCATTGAATTCAGCTGTTTTCTACTACTTTACTCTAACGAAGGTAAGATGTCACTTTCCATTTTGTTCGGCCACACGAAGCCAAAGCCACCTACTATTTCCGCTTGCATCACATCCGTAACGCGAGTTTGGACACACAAACGGCAGCCGACATCCAGGACACAAGGAAGTATAACTTATAATTATTAATTATTATTAATAATTATTAGGAAACTGTTTTAATGTTAAAATATTTAGAAAAGATAGGAACAAACCAAAATTACTTTCCGAAGTACTATAGAGCATATTAAATTCGATGAATACTTGCTACTATCCAGTTCAGAATCTCTTGGCTTCCTGTCTGCTATGTAACCAGCTGAATATTGAAACACTCGAAACTGCACTATAAATTTAGCTTTTATTCTGCACGGGTATGAAGTTCGATCATTCATCCGAAAGGAAGAACGGGCAGAATGTTTGAAAAAACGGTCTGAAGGGAGTATCTGTGTCGAAGAGACAGGAAAACCCAGAAGGGTGGGCAAAATTTCGACGTGAGGGGCTTCATAATTTGCACTCATCAATTCACTAGACCAGGGGTCGGCAAACTACGGCCCGCGGGCCAAATCCGGCCCGCGAGCTAAGAACGGATTTTACATATTTAAATTCTTTGAAATTTCAAACTGCTTTGTGCATTTCCCATGCTGTTAGAAATTAAAAGAAGTGAGATTTCCATTCGCGCACAAATTTGCAGCGGATATATTTTCTGAACTCAAACTACAGTTCCAGGAGCGTGTTTCGGATGTTATTTGGCAGAGCCTACCTGTGTGAAAAGACATTTTCAAAAATGAAATATGTAAAATCTCAATACAGGTCAGCATTAACGGATGAACATTTACAATCAATTTTGATGATAGGGAGTACTGAATTTAAACCTCAGTTTGGTGAAATGTTCAATAATTTTTTTAAAACTTGTTTTTTTCTTGTTACATAAGTAGGCTTACCTATATAAATATCCTCGAGTTTGCCTCTTGGCCCGCAGATCCTAAAATATTTACTAATTGGCCCTTTATAAAAAATGTTTGCCGACCCCTGCACTAGACCATCACTAAGTGACGTTAGTGTTTCAATAATAATAATCAGATCTTGATTCCCGTAGTAACAAGACACAGTCGGTTGCTGTGATGGCAGAGCTTCGCAAGTTCTCTTGCCTGCCTGTGCCCTGTTACATAAGCAGCATTTGCAAAGAGACTGGTCTTTCAGTAAATAACTACATCTGTTTCGAAATGCTTGGATGTGTTTGTCAACTTCTTAACAAAGTCGTATCTCCTTCTCAGCTCTTAACGCTTACGGTTTTGAAGTGAGCTTTTAACACTTAACAATATGCGTGTTCTTGTATCAATAAGACACCAGATTCAATTATCCACATCAGCGTTACATATATTAATTGACTAATTTTAGGGAAACTCCGTACAGACACCATTTCATTCTCGACAAACATTCATTCGTATTTCATCAACAAATCAGTGAGATCTGAGGTTTTCAGTACGGCGAGGACGTCTTGTTCTGAGTACTGGTGACGTCACGTTACGTGACCTGAAATAACACCGAGTATACACGATACCAGTAGGCAGAACATCATCACCACTAAAAAAATTCCAAAGTGGCGATCCTGCGAACTTTTTTTAAGGTGAGAAAGTCAGTGGCGCAGTAGATGCGGGGTGTTTGAAGTAAGAAATTCTGATTAAATGTTACGGAAATTATTTTATAGGAATCTGGGATGTAGCTCTTGTGCTTGGTGTGGAAAGAAGAACTCGTGGATCAATATGAGTTGTCACAAGCACACGGACTATTAAAAACCAAGCACAGTATAATACACCGTATCTACCACGAATGTACTTTTAATCCGCTTACTTGTACAGTTCACGAACAGCTGGCTTAGATTTTTCTTCGTGATGAAAGGAAACGGTAATAGATGGCACGATGGATTTTAATCAGTGGGAAATAAGGCAGGGCGCTTTCTGTGAGAATTAATTGAGTTTAACAAGTTCTGTCTTTGAGCGCTTACAAAATAAACGACCAGTGATCAAAACTAAGAATAAAAAGCTTAGCAGTCACGCAAAAAATACTACGCTACGCTAATGGGCTAATAAAACAGCTAAGAGCTATGAATCTATTCGTTCTATAGGCCTGCATAAGGTCTGAAGGACTCACTGTGGCTAGTGAATTGTTATTCTGAAACAGCCCATTAATCCTTACACAAAGACTAATTCGCATTTTTACATATAGAATGTCCCAAAAAGATATATAACTACACACGAGGTTCTATTATGTTGTGTATAAATCTTTTTAGAACACCGTGTAGTTTGGAATTTTGCAGGAGGCTATAAAAGTCAAGCCGCCGGCATTTATCTCGGTACCGGAGTGACCACAGCCAAAGATACTTAATGGTGTTTCCACATTCCATAGGCGGCGCGATCAGCAAAACATTCTGTATCTAATATCAATTAAGAACGCGACTTACAAAAACGGTTAAGGTCAGTACTGGGTGAAACTGGGTCAGCAACGTAAGTTGCAAAATCACGGAGCAGTACTGCTACAACCGGAGGACCGTTCGTCAACATTCCTCGTACTTTCCCGTCAAATTATAGATCTGGGCAATGATTGTAATGATTAGGCGTATTTGTTGTAGTGTTCTGTTATCCTGACCTTGGGTTACTGCAATATTATCGCTTGGTTGCTCAGTACATCGACCTTCGGGATAAAATCAGTTGAAATTCCTCAATTATGGGTTTTAATGCCTTGTTCCCTGAATATGGAGGCGATACGTTCCTCCGAAACGCTGGTTAACTACATGCATGACCACATGGCTTCACAGTCCAGAAGACCACAACCGACGCATTGCCACCCTGAGAACTTCAAACCTCAGTTTAAACTCGCTTTAGTCTGTCTCAGCCTAAAGCAGTAGCTTACGACTTCATTATTTGATGTCGTTCTTATTCGAAAGATGGTCGCGTTTTGTGAAGGTAGTAGCCATTCTATTTGTTTGCCAGGGTCTTGTATTGTCACAGGAGACTTTCTGACCGCGTCCAGCTTCATTAGTTCTGATTGTTTGGCTGCCCCGAATACTGATCAATTGCTCATCAACCTCAAAAACTATTAATGTAACATTCAATGGCCACCCAGAAGGCGTGTAAACAATCCCTCCTTTGAATCTTTCCACCAGTCCGTAAACTCTCCTTTGCTTTTACCGAAATGCTCAACTGTCATTCCTACCTAAATTTCACTTCTTTTCACACCCTCCGACCACAAATATTTAGGCTAACGCAATTAGCCACTGGGTATGTACGTAGTAGTACAGCAACACAACTTTTATGACGAACATGAGACTACATTCCTGTTTGCCTCCTGTTAATGTCAAAGGCGTTCAGCAACAAAACAGTGCGTACGATTTCAGTGTATTTGCATCGCCGTTCGTCACATCAATAGCAATGAGATACAAAGAAGAATGGGCCTGTAAGTCACTTTAGCTTTTCAGTACGTAGACCTAAGTAACATAACGTATGTCTACGTGGCTCTTATTAAATATGTTACATAATGCAGTATTGAAAGAACATGAAGTTAAGAGCAAAACTAACTGAAGCCTTAGTTTTGAATCGGTACAATTTGCCACGTCTTGTGGGGAGAAGACTGTGGAAAATAGGCGACTGTAAAGACTGATAACAAAGATTCCAATAAAGCATAGCTGAATAGCGCCGGTACGACGTTCAGGACACAAAACTACTAACAATTATTTAAGAAAATGTGAAAATTGTAGTCGATTTAATTTTAATTAAAATTTTCAGGCGTATGTTAATAATGCGGTAACTTGTGGATAGCCACTCGATAATCGACTCCTGGGAATCGTGTTTTCATTGTCCTGGCAAGCTGCAGTCTGCTGAACTGTTACGACGCTGACCTCTGCAGCCACTCTGTCATGTAAGACTCTGCCCTTGAGGTGATGATTGCAATGAATGAAGACGAAGCCACTGTGAAGAGAAAATCATACTGCATGCTGGTTACATTTCGCGTCGGATGTAAACTGACAGAAATTTTAAATAAACTTACAGTACCGGTAACTGATAATGAAGTCACGATAAGACGTCCTGTGGGAGTTTATGTGCGTTGAGTTGCAGTAAGAAAGAAAACTGAGTCATAAAACAAAGTGAGTGACAACACAATGTGACGTTGGTGTGTGATTTTCCGTTTGTGACTTGTGTCTGTTACGAATAGTTAAACACGCAGGGAAAATATTACAATCAAATTTGTAGTTTAATTACCGATTCTGTCAGCAGCTCAGATTACACAGCTTCGAATTACAGGATGATTAATGAATACTGAATTGAAAAGGATATGGAAGGAAATGGTCGTATCGTTTTATCACACGGAATTTGCCCGGAGGGATTAAGGAAAACCACGAAAGTTGAGAATAGCCGGTCTGCGAGCCGATGTATGAACCCGGGACTTAAATAATAATCATAATAATCCGTGGTGTAACAGCCCTCTGAGAGCCAAAGTCGACTAGCTGGCTGCTGGCCTCACGTTCACATGCCTAAGCAGAGGTGGACGATCATCCAACCAGATATAGGATAACGTGTGGTCAGCACGACAAACCCCCAGCCTTTGCTAGCTTTCACGAGAACCCGGGACTTATCGAATATAAAATAGGAGTGCTAAGCACTTTGCCGTGATGTTTGGTGTCTAGGATACTACCCCGAAAAAGCCACATTTCACGTAATTGTGTTCAGTATTGAGTATGTAGTAGTTTTATTCTCAAACACCTCATAGTATCGTGACGTTTCTGTGCAGGTGCCGAAGCTCAGCAACGACCAGAAGGAGGGCAGAACGCCGTGAACGTCCTTTTCAACTCGACGTCCTGCATACAGCAACCGTACACGTGTCCGCATCCCCGCATTCAGTTCTATCTGTACACTCGGTGAGTGGCCGATCAGTGGGATCATCTGCTCAGTTATACTTTTTCTAGTACACCTCAGTAACATCAGGCAAATGGTAGGACAGACATTAAAACAGGCCACACGTTCTTCCATTTGTCATTTATAATCCTGTAAGATTTCAGGTTCTCGCAGCGGCAAGTATGAAAATGGCTCAGATCAGAGAATTATAAAGATGACTGTCTTCTGATCTGTTGCGCCGTGTAGTCTGGAAGAAAAATGCCGACGTCTCAGGTGCCATCATCAGGGTTTTATTGCCCTGATGATGGAGGCAGCCAGACGACACGACACATCCCAAAAGACAGCCATCTTTATAGTCATGTGGTTGAAAGCTGTGTTATTCTTATGCAGTCAGAGTATATGTGCGGAGAAATAAACAGACTTACCTCGAATATAAAATCATACATACAAAGAAAACTGTTAACAGTTCGAAAAACACTTTGTGTCAAACGCATTTCGACCTGATGAGGTGTTAACAGTTTTGTTTGTATGTATGATTCTATATTTTATACATTCAACACTGCACGGTATGCAAGGTTTTAGGATTTACCTTGGTTTAAATGTGAAATATGTTTCTTGTTCATGGTGTTTGCCCATCTGCGAGCAGCTCACGAGTTTCTATGGCACACCTGTCGATTGCACAATGATGATCGATCCCTGTGACGTCGATTCTGCTTCACAGTCACTGAAGAGGAACGGATGGACTCTTTAAAAAATACGGACCTTGAGAACGCACAAATAACAAACCAGACCCTCCTCAGTCTATGACAGAAATGTTCATGAAGTTGTAAGATTAAATATAACCGTGCCCCTTAAATGTTGGCTCGATCTGTACACGTAGAGGCCATGGCATGCGATGTTTTTATCTCCGACATAACGAGTCCTAACAAATATCTGAAGGTTTTTATTTTCAGAAAAAAACTTAAGTCGCAACTGGCCAGGGGACCAAATTTTTTGAAGTGACATTTCTCTATAACAATTATTTGTTCTGTGGTTTAATGTGTTCTGATATTATATAGATCTAATTACGGTAAAGTGAAATAGAATTGGTTTCCACTCCTTATAAAACCAGTCTTTAAAAACTGTAAAATTATATTTCTTTCTTAATGACGACTCATAATTTATTCAACAAGTACCTGATATTAACCGTTTGATAGTCTATCCGACACAGTTATTTTTTTTAGTTTCAAAACAGTCAGACTCACACGCAGGTATTCAATCCTATTGTCCAGATGTTTATATCGAACACGGGTCTATTATTCTGAACAGACGACGTATCAAGACCGAATGCATTTACTCCTTTCTTTGTTTACCGTTCTTTATGTCCGCTGTATTGTGGTTTTAAGACTGTCGGACTGGCGTACGTCCAGCACTGAACCGGAATGCAACTTTTGTGACTGTCGACAAGAGTCCCACACAGGACCTGAGACGATTAATTGCTGCAATTGGATCAGTAGTACCACCATAGAAAGTTATTCTCTTCCGTCCTTTAAGGAAAGCATAATGAAAATAATACAATTGCTAGCCCACATTGTGTTGACACCTCTTTCGCCGAGTTGTCATACCCTTCTTGTTCGCAGGGACACCCAGGAGGACCCTGAACTCCTGAACTCGCTGTCTTCCAGCTCCTTGTACGGGTCACGGTTTGACGCGAGTCACCCAACAAAGATAATCATACATGGTTTTGGTGGCGGTCGCCATCTTTCTCCTAGCACAGATCTCAGAGATGGTACGTGGTCAGTAGACTGCATGACAAGTTGGAAACTGTACACAATACGAAACAAACGCATCCCATTTTATAGTTACGCAGAAGTTATAATAGCGCCAAATGTTCTGTCAAAGATATTATTATATTATTTATTTAGTGTTCTGTCTGACGACAGGTCCATATGAACAGGATCCTTCCATCCTTTTCTCGGACTGGGACCTGTTCATATACGTTCTTGGCAGATGATCCAAAAGTGGTTTGCCATTGCCTTCTTCTATGTGTGAATGGAGTAATTGTTGGGATGCCAATGAGGAAAACTCCGTGTTGCCTAGGCCACGGCCTTGCCCAACACAAGTTAAAAATTCGGGCACCGCCGGGAATCGAACCCGAGACCCCAGGATTACAAGGCCAGCGTTCTAACCGCTAGACCACCGTGTCAGAGATATGGCTAATAATTTATTTATCTTATTCATGTTCATTTTTTCGCGTTATTTTTAAAAGCAAAAAAACTACTTTCAACAAATCATCAAACCAAACATGATCGCTCCGCCCCAAACTGCGGGTAATGCCAGAAGTAAATACTATGTCTATGGAAATAAATCCTTTTTGGGAAGATGTTTGTCTTCAAAATAGTCAAAGTATTCGCCTTTTATGGAACCCGTAAAGTCCTGTGCTCACAACAGCCCACCATTCGACCCTGTCCAGAGCGAGATTAATCTAGCTAGTTGATACATGTCCATCCCTCCTTAGCCTTCTTGGTTTCATCATCCTATTGGGTTAATACGTGGTGAAGAGAGAAAATTATTAAGTTCGTCATTCTCACTCTTTGTTCTTTCTTCACTGTGAAAGACCAGTTTCGCAGTCGTAAAAGACATCATAGCTGGTGATATGGCGTCATTAAATAGCGTGACGTATGCGGGTCTGTGTCCTGCGTTTAGGTCTGCATGAATTGTTACGGCTGTTCCGTGAACGGAACCAAGTTCCTTGTTCTGCACGTAACTTTTTGGCGATTTGCTGAGTCGCGTGCCAAGATGGTAGGAGAGTGAGTAGCGAAAGTGAACGTGGCTAAATTGCGTACGCAGAGTTACTCAGCCAGCACGCTTGTTTTCTGCAGAAGATTCTCGATTACATTGTTGTGAAAGCGCGTACGTTCCTCCGGCCAACTCGGGCGATTCATGAGGCTTCATGGCTCCGCTGTTTGGAAAATCCACAATACACGAGCGAAATTTCAGGTTCTCATTGCAGCGAGTATGAAAATGGTTGTCCTATGGGTTGTTTGATAGAGAAGTCTATCTACGTTTCAGATGATCTTGCTGCCTCTGAAACGTCGGCGAACTTCTCTGCCAGATTACACGGCACAACAACCCAGAAGACAGGCATCTTCACACACACGCCACAAATTATTTATAATCAACGAACTGTCTGGCAATTGAATCCGCCACTGATCAATGAGCAAGTTAACATCTGATTCCTAATCACATTTTAATATTACCCTCTAATATCATTTTATGACAGGTTAGAAATTAAATACAATACTATTCCGTTATCCACATAGACCGATTGTGAATCCTAGATTTTAATCAGGAACTCCTAAACCATCAGCAAAAATGCTCTACGGCCTGACAAAAGAATATGTAGTTAATAAACGTGAAGTATTTTACACACAAGTCCTTCTGTACACTGTTAAATGTTTCTTTCTAAAATTACTTCCTTCCTTGGTCTAAATGGTAGGCGATAACAACGTTTGTAGTGACTAAACCATCTCCGCTTACATCGTAAAAATGGTCACTACCCCACATGAAATCTGGTAAGTGGGAATGTACGATTGTCATAAAAGAAATATAGGATTTGAGACTTTCGCGGCGAGTACAATCAATAAAATCTTCTGATGTGACTGGATACCTCGGCCTGGCGACTTCCGAGGTATCCAGTCACATCAGAACCCTGAAGATGGGAACAGAGTTGGTTCCCGAAACGTCGGTTTACTACGGTAACCAGTTAACGCGGCTGATTGCCCGAGAAATAGACGTTTTGCTGGTACTCAGTAAGTAGGTGCACAGTTAATAGCGATACATGGTAACGATCTTCCAGCCTACTTCACACATGGTGAATACAACATCATCATCGTAGACTACTCGACTCTAGTCAAGGAACCCTGTCTGAGTCAGATCAACTGGGCGCCTCGGTTCGGGGCGAAGTGCATCGCACAGTTAGTGGACTACCTTGGCAGCCACCCTCGTGGAGTCCGTCCAGACGCCCTGCATCTTATTGGCTACAGCGTGGGGGCTCACATCGCAGGGCTGGTTGCCAACTATCTCACTGCAGGCAAACTGGGGCGGATCACGGGTGAGGAAGTGATGGCTGTTTCTTACATTCCCACAACACGCCTCAAGTAACTTTCACAGGATATCCACGAGACAAACATGAAACATTAGCATGCAAAAATGTTTAATGTTGCAGTGCTGTTGTATAAGTTACGCGTTAAGAAAATTGCTGATTTTGTAATGCCACAGGATGCCTCACAATTACGTTCACAACAAACATCTAAACAATTTTTAGCAAATAAATACAATTATGTTCTAATATCCGTTCGCTCCAAAACAAAAATAAGGAACATTAGAAAACTGTTACAGGTCTGGATCCAACCATCCTGTTTTACATGGGGACCAACAGGTCCCATGACCTTGACCCTACGGACGCTCACTTCATAGACGTGATCCACACAGGTGCGGGAATTCTGGGCCAGTGGGGCCCAAACGGACACGCAGACTTCTACGTGAATGGAGGAACAAGTCAGCCCGGGTGCGCTCAGAACTCCATTTTCAGTAAGGCTCAACACATCCATTGTAAATACTGTCGTTGATTTTGGCAGCCCTGTGATTCCAGTGTTTTATGAGAACCCGAATTATAATGGTTAAGCTTTCTAGTGCTGGCGGAGTGGAGTCATTCATACAAATTGTATCAGTCGTTAAATTAAAACCTGCTTTACCTAGAAGCCGGGCGAAGCCTTCGGGACATTCTAAAGAAAAGTCCACATCCTTTGCGTTGCCTAGCAGCCTAATGAACACTTCGAAATAGTATATAAAAACAGTTTAAAACAGATTAAAGATTTAAAATTATGTTTGTAAATAATAAAGATTTTCTATTCCGTTTCTTTGTTGAAGTTTCTATACAAATTAGAGCAAGATCAGCAAATGATTCGGCAAAATTCTGGGAATTTATTACCAGAAGGCAGATAAACGATTTGATCTAGGTGTCGTGATTCTTATTTGTTCCCTGTTCTGTATTTTATTTGTCGTTGTAAAACATACATTGAGAATGCATATATCAACGTCGACCGAGTGAATACTGACAACGTTTTATGTTCTGCAAACTGTCAAGGAGACCAAGTCTAGAATTCAAAACGCAGTGTTTATTAATAAGTAAAACAATTGTACTATATAAATTAAAGTATCTGTTTAAATACTACACATAAATATTCCAGATGGTCCGACGTTTTAATTGGTAGAAGGGAATAAATTCTTCACACGGGATTGTAAATTCATTTTCTTATGGAGACTACACGGCTCAACATGTCGGACGACAGCCAACCATCTTCACACTCGACAGTGCTTGCATAATAGGATAGTAGATGCTGTGCTTCCAACGAAATTGTTGTCCGTTGCAGGAACTCTGTCCTGCGACCACACCAAGGTGACGCCATACTTCATCGAATCGATCAACAGCAAAGCCGGGTTTTGGGCAGTGCCCTGTCCTAATCAGTTCCTGTACTACCTGGGTTTCTGCAACCCGCCCGATGACCAGTACGTTCTCATGGGAGAACACGTGTCACACAAGTAAGTCGCTTCGTTCTGCCAATAGCCTCCATCGTTTTTAGAATGAAATTTCTCACGTCTGTTCAGTGTGCCAACATTATTTCAGGAATGTCGTTGCTGTATGTAAGTGCGATGATGACTCCATCTTGGGCAGGACCTTCCGTTTTTGATCAATTACTTCAAAATGAACGCTCATAACCGTAAACGAATATTTCCTTTATTACTAGGGACACTGCTCATTTTTTCCCCTCGGATATTTCTTGAACAAATTGTAGCCTACTGAAATAATGAGGTTCATCTATTATGACTACCTTATGAATATATTATTCGCAATTATCAAGAAAAAGCTACAGAAAATGTAAAAAATTCTACCGGATTTTTTATATTCTTGCTGACTACACAGCACAATTTTCGTTTAAGTTCCTACTTTCTACGCAATATCGATTTTTATGTGACAGCAATGGACCTTCTTACAATTATACGTTTTCTAAACAGCAGCGTTATTTTGTAAACCGCTCCACTGCCTCCAAACTGCGTCGTAATATTTCTAGAAATGATTTCTGTTGCAGTACACTCACTCAGAATTCGAATAAGAAGCAACTGTTCTGAAATCGATACTGACATGAATGTTGTATTGTGGTGGAAGGCTGTTGGCTCAAGAGTTTGAATTGTTCAATTCTTGGAAGTTAATCACTTGCCGATATAAAGCAGCGAAATGTCATATTGCTTCCGGGAATGTTGTGGTCTGCAGACATTCGGGGGAACGGTTTGCCTTCTTAAATTATTGACATTCAGTTAACTCAACTGTATCACTCTGAATGCGAAAGGGGCTATTTGAAGTCCGTTATCGCTGTAAAAGTACGCGTGCATTGTCTCACATGGTTACACAGAAGAAGTATAATCATTTCAGGAAAAATAATTAAACCAGCTAGATATGTAACTACTTACGTAGAATGAAAATTATACAAATTTGAACTACAGAACTTAGTTAATCTTAGTCTACTTTTATAAGTAACAATACCTAGCTCCAGTAATCGTTCTCCAGTGGCCATTATCCCTGATAAATTCTGAACAGCTTGCCTGATTTTCGTGAAATTTAGTATGAACATTATTTAACTAGAGATTGCTCAACTTTTATAATTACTTGTATACTTAATCATTTTCACCACAGTAAAAGCCTCAAATCTCAAATATTAAAAAAAAGGGATAATTATTTAAGAAGACCTAATTATATGGTCGGATCTAAATCTGGAATCAGAACAATTTAAAGGATCTAATTCGCGACGCATAAAACTGTTAATATTACATGACACATTGAAATATTTGACATTAAGAATGTTAAATAACTGAATTTAATGGTGAATGCGAAAGTTTGCATTTAAAATATCCTCATGTGTATTCGTCACATACTCAAGTATCGCTTACCTTTCCAGCATCACACTGACTTGCTAGTGCTGTGTGTTTATACGCGATGTCTGGCAAACCTGACTACATCATATGTATCTGGCACCAGTGTTAAACATATTAAGATCATAAATCGATTCTTTCATTACTTTATTTTATTCTACCGACGTTATTGTATTGTCTGCTTGAAGGCAGTGTTTATCTTATCCAGTAACTAGTCCGTCATGTTACACGATAAACACCCGAAAAATTCCAAACACATACACGCGTCTAAAATTATGTAATTTTTTTGGGTTTTTTCCCCCCAAGGTTTACTGCCAGCTGTAGCAAGAACAGACGACAAACATAGCATACAAATATAAGCATCCACGTCAGAGACCTTCATTTGGAGAATAAATTTTGCTTGTCGGTAACGGCCACGGGTACAGACATCGACAAACATTATCCGTGGCGAAAACACTCATTTTCTAGACAACACGTTGCTGCTTTAAATTCAATCGAATTACAAATCCTTCCCGTCACTTCTTCGTGCCTTTTAAGTAAGAATCTGAAAATCTCAAATTGCATCGTTGGTGCGAGCTTAATCATACATAATTAGGACTGTCCTTGTGATACGCTAGTTCATATTCCGCACTGACTAAGGCATTTCTTTTCCAGAGCTCGTGGAATATATTACCTCAGCACTAACGCGAAGAAACCGTACGCCAAAGGATTACCAGGAGGCAGACGAGTCCCAGTTAGAGGCGCAAATACGAGAAGCTGACAGGACTCCAAAAATTCAATTCCTGTTTAATTGAAGCACGCTTAATAAATGTCACATATTGATTGGCATTATCCATACTGAAAATACTGCCTTTATCAGGTATACGTGTATGTGAAAAGCACAAAAACTCAGCTGCTTTCTTGCCATACAATGTATGACGAACATAAAACAGTCTGCTAATGTGTGCACTATGATGTTACCTTTACACCGCCGTGTCACAGATACGTACACTAGTACACCGAAATGTATCTGAACATTCAGAAAGTGTCACAAAGTTGCATGTAAGAGCTACACTTTGACATTGCGGTTATGAAATAGCAATGTTGCAGTAGTGACATGTGGTAAAAATACAGTGAAATTTAATATTTACATAATAATGTTGATACTGAAGATGGGCTGTCTTCTGGGTTGTTGCGCCGTGCAGTCTGCTAAAAGTTTACAGACGTTTCAGAGGTCCTTGCTGCTTCCATCATCAGGGCTATCTTCTGTCACAC